AAATACCTTGAAGCATTCTCCTTTTTCACATAAAACATCAGCAAAAATCAACCCATTTGAGTCAAGATTATCGAGGCCATCGTTCGAGTTCGCCGGATGTAGATCCTAGCTCTTGTTTTCGTTTTCTACAAAGTTTGTCGATGTCAGATTCCTTTGTGCAAAGTTGTTATTGAAAGCTAAAGAAAGGCCTGTTTTTCACCTATTGTCCCATCTTTAATGTTTGTTTTATTCTTTTTTCTCTTTTAAATTTCATGCTTTTCGTTGATTTTTTTTAATTTCTTTGTTCATTTCCTCATGATTGCTTTGATTTAGTTGTTTCTTTGTCTTAGTTAAAGTTTGATCCATGTTAGTCTGCTATTCACTTAGATAATTATTAGATATTATGGAGTTTAATCCAATTATTTCATAAATTGGAACTTATCACTGGTTTGTTTTCTTAGAACAAATAGGTCAGTGTTTGATTTTTCAAAGTTGAAGTGGGTCATGTGCTTTACATTGGGTATTGGATTTAGGCTGATTTGAGCCACTAAGTGGACCAAGTTGTATTGAGCTTAAATTTGATTAATTGATTAGCCTATCATTTAATTCGTAACTGTTAAATAAGTCTGAGATGCCTTTTAGCCCGTTAATAATTTGTAATGTAGATGATCTTATCAAATATAATAATAGTTAAAACCTTCATCCACAAATAAAATCTATAACTCATGCCCTCACATTAACAACAATTAGTGTAGAAAGTATTTTGAATAATCGTAGTTTGCTTTAGGCTCGATTTAGACTAGTATTGTGATTATGTAGTTCGCGTAACATAATTGCGAATTTATTTCTAAAAGTAACTCGAGGGATGCGTTTGCGTAACTTCAACCAAACTTTTTCTTAAAAAAATGAACAAAGCGTTATTGTTTATGGATACGTTCGCGTGACATGATTTTTGACGCGCCAAAGGAAAAGAATATACGTCCGCGTAACTCAATTCTTAAATTGCGAATAATCAAGCAAGTAAAAAGCGGTAAAAGGTAAAAATGTACATAGGTTCTAAGATGAGCAATTAAAGAATCAATTCAAGCCAAATGTAGTCAATAAAGCGACCGTGCTAGAACCACGAGACTCGGGGAATGTCTTACACCTTCTTCCCGGTCAACAGAATTCCTTACCCGGAATTTGTTTTCGCAGACTAATAATAATAGAGTCAAACCTTCCTTTGAATAGGGATTCAAATAAGAGGTGACTTGGAACACCGGTAAAAATCAATTCCAAGTGGCGACTCTGTAAATAAATAATTCATATTTCAAATTTGTCACTTTAATTGGAAAGCTCTTTAACCCACAATCCATAACATATCTATATCTTTTGAAGGGGTAAAAAAGAGGTGTGACAAGTAGCTAAGTCAAGCTATAGCAATTTGTTGAGTTGTTTTCTTTTGGGGGAAAGAAAACAATTGTTACCTAAAATAAATAAATAAAATTACAATATCTCTTTTTTTGAAAGATATGATTTTCATAATTCAATATGGCAAACAAAGGTATGTGCTATCACTATAATACGGGGCGAATATGAATTAGTCAGGACAGCAAATCTCAAATACTAGATGATTATTAAAAAAAAAAACTTATTTCTTTCAAGGTGAGTAGGGACCGAATTTGAGATTTTTAATTGCTGTCTAAGGTTGCTGGACCACCTACCTACAAGTGGTGTGGACGCATCAGAAGTCCAAGACAGCAGTGTCTTTGTTTTAAGGCATGGCCTGTAGCAACTCGACACCACGGACAAAGCTGTCACTTGTCTCTACTGATTGTAATCGAAGGGTCGGACCCTCACTGTAACTACTTGTGACATGCAACCCCGTGGTCTCTCTCTCATCTCCAATTACATAATAATCCTAACTTAAAGCAGCTAATGCAACATATAACGGCTTTTGAGAACAAAGTAATACTTTATACTCCCTCCGTTCACTGTTACTTATTTACTATGAACTTTACATACCCCTTAAGAAATAATAAATGAAGTGTCTAATTTATCACGGTACTCATATTAATTGATGCATATTGTTAATGAATTTGAGAAAATGATTTGAAATGAGTAATTAATACTATGGGTATAACAGGAAAAAAGAAATTGTCTTCTCTTGATATGCTAAAAGTGATAAATAAAAGTAAAAATTTATTTTTAGAATACTGAACAAGTAAAAGTGAAGCACGTCGACTTTAAAGAGGTTCCTACTTAGTTTCCCTGCATAGTTTATTTCGGATGTTCTCCTAATTCCCATTTTTCATTGTCTCCATTTCCCGGATTTTTTGCTGCTTGGATGAGAAATATATATCATGTTTAATTATCTAAATCTTAATGATGAATTCTAAACTATGACATGTGACTGGCTATGTTGCATGGGGCTGAGTGTTGGCCAGTCAAAAGCTCCACGTCCAGAAGATAAAGCTAAGGTAGCAAAGATGAGGATGTTGAGATGGATGTGCAGGCACACCAGGTTAGGTATGATTAGGAATAAAGTTATTCAGGACAAGGTGAGGGTGGCCCCTATTGAGGATAAGATGCGTGAACCACAACTTAGGTGGTTTGGAGATGTGAGGAGGAGAAGCACAGACGCCCCGATAAGGAGGTCGTGTGAGAGGTTGACATTGGAGGGTCTTAGAAGAGGTAGAGATAGGCCGAAGAAGAGCTGGAGTGGGGTGATTAGGCATAACATGGCGCAGCTACAGCTGACCGAGGACCCTAGATAGGAAGGTGTGGAGGTCGAGGATTAGGATAGTAGGTTAGGTAGTCTAGATTATTCATATTGGTAGTGTTAGAACGTACTCTCGCATTTGGTTGGTATTAGGTTTCTTTGAATACCTGCCTTTTTTGTGCATTTTGATTATCTTACTATCTTGTTATATATGCTGTTTTTACATGATTTCTGGTGTTGTCCTGTTTTGTTTTTTTGTTATTATTGTGGTACCTATGATTCCTCAGCCGATGGTCTATTGGAAATAACCTCTCTATCTCTACAAGGTGGGGGTAAGGTCTGCGTATACACTATCCTCTGCAGATTTCACTATGTGGGATTATACTGAGTTGTTGTTGTTGTTGACATGTGTCCCCATCCAAGCAAGAACTTGAAAAAATGAAGATAATGAAAAATGGAGAAAAATCCCATCCGTTCATTTCACAATATCGGAACTAGGAAATACATGACTGAATAGGACTCTACATATACACATATACGCAATAGTGGAGCTAAGAGACATAATTTTTTTTTTATATCTAAACAATATATTTTTCTGGCAAAGGGGTGTCAATTTGACACCCCTTAGAGCTATGTAGCTCCGCCATTGCATATACGTGCTCCGTTTTATTATATATAATTTGAAAGAGACTACGTATGAAATAATGCATATGTTGTACAAAACAGTAACAGTGATAGTAGAAATCATTTTTCCTTCAAATTTTTTCATAAAAAAAAACAGTTGACGAAACTTGGAGAAGTAGATATGCACACTTCAATTGATGATTTCATTGATTGGAGTTCTTCCATTAGCCATTGAAATATAAAGAACTTTAGCTTAGTGGAGCCTACTACATAATATTTCAACGCAATTAGTGAGTCAAAGTTACTTGTAAGTTATTTTTGGAAAAGTCGTCTCTTACTTTTATGGATACAGAAAGCAATAGTCATTTAATTTGAGTTCTGGTGATAACTCATATATAGGTGTCGTTATTAGACATAATTCCCAGTTTCCTACCTAATATAGGTAGCTAGCTCCCTGAGTTCATACGCCAAGTCAACAAACTAATTAGTGTAGTACTAACCTTTTAGGAGGAAATAAGTTTCTTGCAAATAAGTTCCCATTAATACCCAAGCTGAGCTTCTTGCACTATTATAGGGACTGCAAATTGCAGAATAAAGTGGTGTAACCACCGGTTGCGAAGCTAGAAATTTTTCTAAGGGTATTCAAATCTGAAAGAAGTGAAAAAATTTCCGAACAAAGGGTGTTCAATATATGTTATATACCACTAAAACGTAATATTTTACCTACATGCACAATACAATTTTTCGGCGAAGGATGGTCAGTTGACCACCCTTGTGATCATGTGGCTTCGCCACTGAATACCACCGGAATTAACACAGACTCAACGGAAGTAATAAGAATGCTTAAAATGAAAAACTATGTTTATAACTCTATTATCTTTGAATGCAGGCCAATAATCCAAAGATTGAGAGACATAGTGGTGAAACAAAGCTAGCAACAGGGAAAAGAATAGGGTAGCGACCTACTAGCAAAGGAAGGTGGAAAGAAAGATCTTTTGGAAGACCAACAATGTTGACAGTTTTTTCTGTGTTTGCAATGAAGCTTTTTGGACAAACATCTAGGAACTGTGTTTTCAAGAAACATTTTGGAATGTAATATTAATACTGTGGTTCAAAACTTAGGGGTACTATATATCCCTCTAAAGATGATGTACCTATTTCCTCTTAATTGCTAATATATAAAAATCCCATTAACCAAAAAAAAAAGTTTCTTCTTCATTCCTCCTTTTCTTTTATTCTTTTGTACTCCAACTTTTTATGAGTTGGTGGAAATATTTTTTTTACCAATATTATTAGTTAATGAAGTTACAAAACACACGATAGTATAAAAAGTTTTTTCACAAACACACACACATATATATATACACACACGTTATTCAAACAGCGGCGAAATCAGAAAATTCCCTCAAGGGTGTTCAAATTTGAAAGAAGTAAAAAAAGAATCATAACAAAGAGTGTTCAATATATGTTATGTACCTCTAAAACCTAATATTTTACCTATATACGCAGTATAATTTTCCGGTAAAGGGTGATCAATTCCTTACCAAAGTGTAGCTTTGCCATTGTATGCAAATAGGTCAAAATTTCTTTTTGTCAATATATAAATTTTTGAATTCTAAATGTTGTATTCTTGCATTTTTTTGGATATATTCCCTTATTAGAATTTCCGACTAATACGACAATAGAAATAACATACCGATCCATGGAAAGTCTGGACAAGAGCTCCCGCCCCCGCCGAGGCCAAATTTGCCCCATCATAATAGCTGTGTTGACTCCCCCCAGGCTGCAGAAAGGGCGGTAGCAATGGCAGTTTTGCATATGTAGCTGTCACCGAATAAAAACAACCAAAAATAGTCAAGACACAAACAAATACACACAGTCACACAGTTAGAAGCAGATTCAGATTTTTACAACAACAAATACTTGTGTACGCACCTACTTTGTGAAGGTAAAGATGTTGTTTATGATAGCCTCTCAAAATTTTTAGTTTATAAATTCTGAATTCTAGTGTACATATTAAGTAGATATCTTAACATAAATAAAGAATTTTGACTAAAGTTATATAGTAAAATTCATAACTAGAACTCTAGCTCCGCCCCTGCTTACCGTACCGATGAAATCTGTAATCAAACGGCCGTCGGAAAATCTACCGGTGGGGGACTTAAAGTAAGTTTCTCCATAAGGCCAGAAGTTGGCTTGGTCAAGAGTAGTGGTGTTGATGTAATTGTTGTTTCCCACATCAAATAATGAGTCCCCAAATATGAAGAGAGCGGTCTTTCCTTCTGGCTTTTGACAATATTCCCCAGTATGCAATGTTGGCCACAGTACTGTTATACATAAAACCACAAGGAATGAAGGACTTGCGCCCAAAGGCTTTGCCATTTCTTAGCTTTAGCTTTACAATGATTTGTAAGATTTTGCGCCCTCCCTTCTCTTTTCAAAGTAGCCAAGAATCATGTATTATATATATGGTTGACATTATACATGTCTAAGAATTGAAAAACATGCATAATTGAGTCAATAGTTTGTTTAGCCAAACATCTAATTCTGCTTTTCACAAAAAAGTAGAAACCGTTTATGTTTGACTAATTAATTTGAATAATACTTTTAAATAACAATTAGTGTTTGACCAAGCTTTTCAAAATATTACTGAGTGTATTTCTCAAAAAAGTGTCTTTTCCTTCTACTCAAATGTACATTTTTCCATTCTAAAACCTTGGCCAAAAACACTTTAGCTTTGAAAGAAAAATACTTTTGACAAAAAAAAAAAAAGAATTAGTCAAAAAGAAGCTTGGTCAAACAGGCTATAATTAAAACAATGTCTTTTTAATTATAGTATATACTATATTCCTTAATTACAAGTATTTATTATTGCCTAAAATATGCTAACATTTCCCCTCGAACCCTGCTTGTGTGAGCTTCTGAAAGGATAATCCATTCCAAGGCGGATGAAGGAAGATGATTGAGCATATTAACTGTTAAATACTTTTTTCTGTCCCAATTTATGTGATAATATCTGATTGAGCAAGTAGTTTAAGACAAAATGAAAGAATTTAAAATTTTGGAGTCTAAAACAAGTTATTGACGTTTATGTAGCTATAAATCATCTTATTAAGGGTAAAATTAAATTTTTTTTACATAAAAAAGTATGACATTATTTTTGAGACAAACTAAAAAGAAAAGTATAACACATAAACTGAGACAGAAAGAACACTATTATTGATAACTCTAGGATTTTTAAAATATATATACCATTATTATAAATAAGTTTTACGCTATTAATGTAGTTTAATACAGTATATTACAACATGTAATTTACCATTTTTCTAAGGAAATAAAACAATTGTGGGTTCTTTCAAAACGAATCTCTAGTCAAAAGAAACAAAAATAAAGATAAGATGGTTATGGTCTATGGTTGTGACTTGTCAAGCATGACAACAGATGTTGTTAGAAGATGAGTTATTCACGCAATGATTCGTTCAATTTAATATTAACCATCTTAATCGACGACTTTATGAAATAGCACTTCAATAACAAGAAAAATGTTGGAAAACCTACTAATGAATGGAGTAGTAGATAACAGGTTCAACTGGAAAGGAAATTAACTGATTCATATATATTTCGAACAACTTTCGTTCCATGAAACTGTCCTCTCTACTGCTTCTTGTTGTATTGAAAACTTAGGCGAATCCAATAAGTGATCAGACGAATTGAACTTTTTGAATTTTTATATGTTTACTAAAGTCAACACCTCTAAATTCACCTAGAGTAAAAATAACATTCTACAACTAGAGACGGAAATCGGAATCAAGATTTCAACTTTATAAGTTATGAATTTCAGAACGACGACTTTAAGTACTAATAACTGGGTTCTAAATGTAATATTTGTACATATTTGAGAAATTTATTAGCATAAACACATTGTTTGAGCAAAAGTTACTGATAAGTTATGTGCCTTTTTTATATTTTAATGATGGGATGCATAAGTACCTCCTGATCTATACCCGGATTTTCAACTACCCACTCTATCTTTGCAGGGTTTTTATTACCCTCCAAAACAGTTTTAAAGTAGAATTATTTGCATCCTTAAAGTTGACGTGGTAGAGTGTGTGTATTTTGAGAATCAAGAAAAAACGATTTCTGATTTTTTTTTTTGCTTTTTTACCATTTTTTTCTTACTTTTTTTTCCCTTTCCTTCTCTTTTTCCTTTTTCTTTGTTTTTTTCTTTTACTTTTTTTTTTCGTTTCTTCTCTAATTCCAGCGGATATTCATTCACCGAGGACTTTGTCTAACCATTTTTTTCCATTTATTCTGTTTTTCTTTTTTCTCTTTCTATCCTTTTCACACACAAATTAAACTCTCAAAAAGACCTATTCATAAGCAAAGCAAAATACACTCAGATTTGGGGGGGGGAAATTCATTATCGAAAAACCTTCTCATGCTGGAAAAAATTGAGGTATTGAAATTTTAACTGGAAAAAGTCTTCTCAGCTTATATTCGTTTTTCTTTCTTTTGCTCTTCCTCCCACACATAAATTACAGTTTCAAGATATATATAAAGAGAAACACACTCAGATCAGGATAAAAATCTGTCGCCAGAAAAAATGGTGTCCTTGAAATTCTGACGACCACCATTTTATGTCGTCGGTGACCAAAACAAAAAGAAAGAGAACGAAATAACAAAAGAAAATGAGAATAATAAGAAATAAGAAAAAGAAGAAAGAATAAAAAAGTACTAGATATACACGTGGCAGCGCATGTAGTTTACCACTTGCCAAGAGTTTGATTGTCTAGTTTCAGGGTGGTATTTATTCCATTTAAAAAAAGTTTCGGGGATAATAAGATTCCCACAAAGATAAAGTGTGTAGTTGAAAACTCGGGTATAGGTGGGCGTACTTATGTATTTTCCCTTTTAATGATCTAACAAACTTTATGATAAGAACCAAATCGGAAACCTGTTACACATTTTGAAAGTGCTCAAGAATAATAAGTCTCAAGTCGAGCAAAAGTTCCAACAACTAGAGTCAAAGAGACGACAGAGGGAATAGATGGACATCAGTTCGCTTGCTGACTGTATTAGTCAACTCCCCACAGTTGTAAAATTGCTACAATTGTTCCTCTGCACACACGTAACAGTGCAAATAGTGCATCAGTCACTTTATGGGGAATGCCCTGTACGTGATAATTGCTTGCATCATCCAAGTGACATCACTTATATATTATCAACATGAAGCAAAAGAAAAACACACACTTGCATATCCGAAAATTGATCAAGTTCTCTCTCAAGTGTGTTGCCATCTTGCAAGTAATATTCAAGACTTTTAGAACAACAGAACAAAGGACCAGTTCCATGCAGTGTGTTACCATATGTCCTTAGTTGTGTTGTAACTTTGTTAGAGGGATCTACTTGTAATTTTACTTAGCTTAGCCAGAAACATTGTGTAGGAAACCATTTGTAAAATCATAAACTTTGTGTTTGTGTATTGGCTAAAGTTAGTCGAGTTGTGAACTTTGTAATAGAGTTATTACAAGTGAGTGGGGATTAAGAGTTTAATTCCTAGGTTACAATAGTTTGTAATCTGAAGTTTGTTCAGTAGTGAAATTAAAATCCTACGAGTGTAGGTCGTGATTTTTAGTCCTATGAGTTGGGAGTTTTCCACGTAAAACTCTATTGTGTTATTTACTTATCTCTTATTATATTTTTCTGTGGGAACTGATAGAGAACCAGGTTCTCTATACCGTTTGGTGGACCCTAAGTTTCCATCAATTAGTATCAGAGTAGGTTCTTTCTACAAGGCTAGCACCTAGAAAGAATCCACATGGCTACTCCACCAAACTTTGAAGAAGATCAATCAACCTACAGACCACCAAGATTCAATGGACAGTATTACAGATGGTGGAAGATAAGGATGTATGATTTTATTATGGCTGAAGATTCTGAGTGCTGGATGTCATATACGATAGCCTCTTCGTTCCCATGAAGACCATTAGGGAGCCAGCAGTGACAGTTCCAAAAACAAGGAAGGAATACAATGATGCTGACCCAAAGCGGTAGAGAAAAACTTTTGAGCAAAAAAATCCTTGTATGTGGTATTGATCCAGACAAATACAAAAGAATCTCTGCCTGTCAATCTGCCAAGGAGATTTGGGAAGATCTCCAAACAGCACATGAAGGAACAACTCAAGTCAAGCAGTCAAAGATTGACATGCTCACCACTGAGTATGAATTCTTCAAGATGAAGGATGATGAGTCCATTCAGAACATGCACACTCGATTCACATCTATCATCAACGAGCTCCACTCTCTAGGAGAGATCATTCCAAGGAACAAACTTTTCAGGAATATACTCAGTGTATTACCTGGTTCCTAGGAAAGTAAAGTAAATGCTATCATGGAGGCAAAGGATCTACAAAGGTTTACCATTGATGAACTCATCAGAAATCTAAAGATATATGAAATGAAGAAAAAGAAAGACCATGAAAGAAGAGAACCCAAGAAGGAGAAGAACCTGGTCCTCAAGGCTGACAGCAATGACTCAAGTGGCGAGGATACTGACATGGCTTATCCACAAAAAGATTTCAGAAAATGGTGCGCGAGAATGGAGGCATTCCAAAAATGGGTAGCTCCAGCAGATCAAAAGACTATGACTTGTGTCATAAATGTGGGAAGCCAGGATATTTCATCAAAGATTGTCCTCTGCACAAGCAAGATCAGTACAAACATAACATAGACAAAGCAGTCAAGAGGAACCCGATTCCTGACAGGAGATTCAAAAGAAAAGTTGCCATTGACAATGTTGTGAAACAAGCTCTTGCTGCATGGGATATTCCTCCAATTAATCTGAGGAGATGATGAACAAGGCGACACCTCGATAATGGCCATTGAAAGCGAAGCAGTTGAATATGACTCTATCTTTTCCCTAATGGCAAAGTCTGATGAGAATGAAGATGATGATGGCGATGAGGTAAACTTTCTGGATGTTCAAAGAAATTTGAAGTCATTCTTAAAAAAACTTATATTTTTGGCAAATGTCCTAATTGATACAAATCATAATCTCATTAATAATAAAATGCTAACTGTGGAACTAGGAAAAGTAGAACATGAGAGAGATGATTTATTAGTTGTAGTGGTTGATTTAAAGGAAACCATATAGGTTTTAAAAAAGGAAAAGGATGCTTTAACTGGAAAAAATTACAACCGAAGAGCATGAGAGAGATGACTTGTTGGTAGTAGTTGTGGATCTAAAAGAAATAATTGAGGAACTAAAAAGGGAAAACAACTCTGGGGACACTCAAAAGTGAAAGGAAGTTGCAAGTGAGGCACAACTTAAGATTGAAAATGAGCTAAAAATTGTGAAATCTAGTATGTGTGCTGAGCTTGAAAGAAACAGACAACTCCAGGAAGATCCAGGCAGAGTAAAAATGACTTACAAAAATCTCTCAAGTGGACCTGGTCCTCTGATGCGATCACTGCCATGTATAAGAACAATGGGGGGAACAGGCTACGAATCGGGTTCCAAAAGAAAAAGACTCCCTACAATCCATATAGCAAGTATGTTACTCGCCCTGATAACTGGATTTGCACTCACTGTGGTAACACTGACACTTTAAAGAAACCTGTAAATTTAGATTTCAGTCCCAACATAAAAATAAAATTTTTGCTAATAAGTAACTACTAAAGCACCTGGTCCCCCAAATAAAAAATGTGTGATGCCTGTTTGGACAAGAAGAAGTTTAATTCACCCTTGTCCTCATTACAAGGGACCCAAACTTGTTTGGGTTCCTAAGTCTAACTCTTGATTTCCTTGTGCACAGAGCAGTGAAAGGAAGCAGCCAAAGATGGTATATGGATAGCGGCTACTCTAAGCATATGACTGGAAGCATCGATGATTTTCTTTCACTCAAAGCCCTGCAAGGAGGGAGTGTGTCCTTTGTCAATGGCAAAAAGGGATACATTCTGAGAGTAGGGAGAGTTGGGAAGACACTCACTCATTCAATTGAAAATGTGTACTATGTGAATGGTTTGAAATATAGCCTACTGAGTGTTTATCAAATTTGCGACAAAGGAAATAAATTGGAATTCTTATCAAAGACTTGCACTGTTACAAATCTTGTAACTGGTGAAGTGGTTCTGTTGGCAAAAAGATTCAAAAATAGCTATGTTGCAAATTTTAAGTCCTTGAACAATGGAGATCTTACATGCTTGAGTGTTGTTGATGACAATGTTGAACTGTGGCACAGAAGATTGGGACATGCAAACTTTTCATTGCTGAACAAGTTGGTCAAGAAAGACCTGGTCTGTGGGCTGTCCAAGTCAAGGTTCAAAGATCACAAGGTGTGTGATGTTTATGTAAGAGGAAAGCAAGCCAGGTCCTCCTTCAAGACCAAAAAGGAAGTAAGCACCTCAAGGCCACTTGCTCTCCTTCATATGGATCTGTGTGGACCTATGAGGGTGCCAAGTAGAGGAGGAAAAAACTACTTTTTCGTCATAGTGGATGACTTTTCCAGATTCACCTAGATATTGTTCCTCAGAACCAAGGATGAAACTTTCTTAGTGTTTGTTGCCTTCGCGAAGATGAGCCATAATATTGTGAGTATAAGATCTGATCACGGCACAGAGTTCGACAATGCAAAATTCGACGAATTCTGTGCTGAAAATAGTATAAGTCATAATTTCTTAACTCCTAGAACACCCCAACAAAATAGTATTGTGGAGAGGAAAAATAGGACCCTTGAATACATGGTAAGAACAATGCTGATTGACAGTGGTGTTGCAAAAAGTTTTTGGGCAGAAGCAGTCAACACTGCGTGCTACTTGGTGAACAGGTGCATGATCAGGTCCCTCTTTAACAAAACCTCGTATGAGTTACTGAACAGGGTGCATGATCAGGTCCCTCTTTAACAAAACCTCGTATGAGCTACTGAACAGGAGGAAACCCAAGCTAACACACTTGAGGACGTTTGGCTACAAATGTTTCATTCTCAATAATGGTAAGGAAGCACTAGGAAAATTTGATGCCAAGAGTGATGAAGGAATCTTTCTTGGCTATTCATTACAAAGAAAAGCTTACAAGGTCTACAACAAAGGACTCAATGTGTTGAAGAAAGCATACATGTGATCTTTGATGAATCACAATACTTATATGGGAAAGATCCACACGACATGGTTTATCAAGGCGGAGAGCAGTCAAAGGTTCCTGGTGAAGTTATTGATATTGAAAATGGAAAGGCTGACATGATGAGTCAAGTCAAGGAATTAAATGAAGATGATGCAGCTAAATCCTCGGCTGATGCAGAAGAACCTGGTCCCTTCATCACAACAACTGAATCAGAATATAAATTTGTTGATGTTGTGCAAGGAACTCCTGATGCCGAGCAGAGAAGTGGTACTCACCCATCCATAGATGCCAGCAATAGGCCCCTTCTGAGGAATTTAGATCTTCACACAATAAGATTTTGGGGTCTAACTGGAAGCATAAAAGTTCACATCATCTCCAAAATGTGATCACTCCTCTTGATTCAGGAATTCAAACCAGATCAAAAACAAGAAGCTCATTTGCATTCTTAGCTTTCCTTTCTCAAATTGAGCCCAAGAATATCAAGAAAGCATTGAAAGATGCTAATTGGATTGCTGCTATGCAAGATGAACTCCATCAATTTGAGAGGAACAGCGTATGGCACCTGGTTCCTCGACCCCCAGACAGAACTAATATAGGAACTAGGTGGGTGTTCAGAAACAAGCTTGATGAATTTGAAATACAATAAGGAACAAGGCCAGGTTAGTAGTGCAAGGCTACAATCAAGAAGAAGGGATCGACTATGATGAAACTTTTGCCCCAATTTCTCGAATGGAAGCCATCAAAATCCTCATTGTCTTTGCATCTCATATGAAATTCAAATTGTTCCAAATGGATGTCAAAAGTGCATTTCTAAATGGATATCTAAAGGAAGAAGTCTTTGACAAACAACCACCTGATTTTGAGTGTCATGATCATTCTGAACATGTATTCAAACGTGACAAGGCATTATATGGACTGAAGCAGGACCCTCCTGCATAGTATGAAAGTTTGTCCAAGTTCCTCCTTGAAAATGGCTTTACAAGAGGAAAAATCGACAACACCTTATTTATGAAGAAACAGGGAAGGAACCTGCTCATTGTGCAAGTCTATGTTGATGACATCATCTTTGGTGCGGCAAATGATTCTGTGTGAAGAGTTTTCTAAGCTTATGGGAAGCAAGTTTGAAATTAGCATAATGGGGGAATTGAATTTTTTTCTTAGGGCTGCAAGTTAAGCAAACTCCTAAGGGCACAATGATAAGTCAGTAGAAGTACATTAAAGAACTCCTAAAAAGATTTGATATGGAAAGTTCGAAGACCATTGATACTCCTATTGTTGCTACCACTCGTCTAGACATGGATGAACCTGGTTCTCCTATGAACGAAACTATGTACAGAGGTATCATTGGCTCACTCTTGCATCTCACAACTAGTAAAACTGATAACATATTTAGTGTGGGATTATGTGCTAGATTTCAACCCAGTCCAAAGGAATCTCATCTTAAAGTTGCCAAGAGGATTCTAAGGTATCTTAAAGGAATACATGACTTTGTTCTCTACTATCCTTCAGGGGACAATTTCGACTTAATTGGGTATGCTGATGTTGATTATGCTGGTTATCTGGTGGATAGAAAGAGCACATCTGGCATGGCACATTTTCTGGTATCGTGTTTGATTTCATAGGGTACAAAGAAACAAAACTATGTAGCTCTTTCAACTACAGAAGCTGAGTATGTGGCAGCTACCTCTTGCTGTGCTCAACTGCTGTGGATCAAGTAGCAACCGAAGGATTTTGGTGTATTTTTCGATTGTGTGCTATTACTGTGTGATAACATCAGTGCTCTCAACATGTCAAAGAACCCGATTCAGCATAAGAGAATATAGCATGTTGATGTGCGACATCAGTTTCTCAGAGACATTGTTAAAAAGGGTCTTATCTGCATGAAGTTTTGTAAAACAAAAGAAAAAGTAGCAGATATCTTCACCAAAGCACTGAGCAGAGAGCACTTTGAAAAGAATCGATTGGCATTGAATTTGATAAAATCAAACTGAGCACCAAGTCCCTCAATGATTGGCTATGAAAGAATGAACATGTAAACAAGCTAAAAGTATTTTCTGGCAAGTTCTAACTCATCTCTATACCATCACAGGCAAACACGCATGGCAACTACAGAGCAAACAAGTAGCTAATGACATTGCATCTTGATAAAAGGATGAGACTCACATTTACAAAACGAAGTCAGGGAACCTGGTTCCCTTGACTCAGGTTAGTAGTTCATTTGTACTCCCTGCATATTTTTAACGGCTATAAAA